CTAATGCCCGCCATTTCTGTGTTGTTTATGGACGATATTCAATTATTGATTTTCTGTTTACTTGTTATTCAACCTCTTGGTTATTTAAATATTGTCATAGGTTAATAGGGGGTGCGGCTGCGATTCACAACAACTATACATAGGTAATGATAGATGTAGATCTACAAGAAAATATATTCCAAGCGATTTTTTGCCAATATTTTATGGTATTTTTTTAATATTAGGTATTTAGAAATATTAAAGCTTGCCAGTAATGACACAATACTAGTACCTTTTAAAAAAGTAGGACCTAAGAACCTATACTTTTAACAGCTAAGTATGGGAGAGCCATGCATCGGCACGGCTTATACCACGGCCTCACAGGAAACCGGCGTGAAACAACCACAGCGTTATGTTTCGCCATGTGAATGAGGTTACCAGAGTCCAGATCCTTCCCCTCTCCCAATCCTAGTCTCCAAATCCCTTATCCCCAAAAGGTCGGCAACGCACTCGTAACTCGACCGTTGTTACAGGTGTCTATGGGCGGCACTGATTGCTTACCATCAGGTAATTCGATTGCTGGTTTGCCGTTAAAAAGTTTGCTATTATTGCGGTCACAAGCGCAGACAGAAAAGGACCTGGTAGTTTTTAGTCAGTAAGAGTCTGACACATCCTCCCGAACTCCCGAGTAGTCCCGACCCACATAGGGCGGGAGAAGTTATTAAATGATTATACCTCCCGCAAATTAAGGAGCTTTCTATTTTTTTTTTATATATTAGTGGCTAATAATTTTGTAATTTTTGTTACAGATACATAAATAAAGATTGGAGTAAACAAATGTTCCTGTATCTGGTGTCTTCTAAGATAAAGACTGATAGTATTCTATAATTCCTATTGTGATAGTTCTAGTTCCCTTTTAAAATAATAATCTAAGTCACAAATTTAATGGCGTCGAATGGACTGCGTAAGGGCTTGTATGGAAGTTACGATTGAACGTAGGTAAACTTTATTTACTCAACAAATTGCTGTAATCATTTTTAAAATGAAAAATCGCAATCTATTGTTGTTGCTATTGTCAAAATGATCTCGAAAGTAAATCCAACTTGTGAATGTTCTATTATAATTTAACTAGTGTTTTATCTCGCCGTGCTATTTTAAAATTACGGGAGATATCGTATTAAAACTGTGTAAGTATCTATACCAATTATGTATGTAGGTAGCAAACAACAAAGATCTGAATAAACTATTCTGAAATATTTCCTGTTAATGTATCCATAATATATCTTACAATCTAATATATTTTATTAATAAAATTATTTTGTTTTATTTCGATGGATAAAGTTTAACAACTTATCGTAGCTATATCTAACCTGAAAATCTAAGTATAATTCAAATCATCATCATCATCAGCCTAAGTGCCCACTGCTGAGCAAAGGCCTCTTCTCATACGGAGAAGGTTAGAGCATTCATCACCACGCTTGCTCAATGCGGGTTGGTGATTTCAAACTTATAATTAGAAATTATCCGTCTTACTACAAAAAAGTACAACATGTGTTGAACATGCGTTTTAACAAAAGCTTTACCACAAAAGAGCGTTTTACGGTGCTTTAGTGTTTAAACACCTCTAAAGTTAGACATCACTTTAGACACACGGAATAGTCTGTTTAGCGCGTGTTTTAAATTCTTACATTTGACATTTGTCAAGATAAAATGGATATCCTTGCTGTACTGGATTTTATTGATGAAGAAGACCAAGACTTGAAAACTTACGCGATAATATAAGAAACCGTGTGAGATTGAATCCCTTTGACCATTATGATGATGCTTTATTTAAGAAAAAATATAGATTTAGTAAATGTTTTGCTAATAAACGACGACGATCTACCAAGTGACGCTCGTGGTTGTGCGTTATATCCACCGATTCAGGTAGCCTGCGCGTTACGATATTGGGCTCGCCATCAGGTAAGTTGCTGAGATTAGAAAGAAAGAAAGAAAAACCTTTTATTTAACACACAAATGACGCAAGAAACAAACACACACGAATATACGAATAGTTTACTAAAACAAAGGTTTGAAAATGGAGAACTTCATGGCATATTGTTAGGTGACTCGGGATATGCCTGAAGCCACTTTTTATTTACCTGTTCAATCCTTCGAACAGTAGAGAGGAAGCCTATAATAGAGCCCATTTATGAACCAGGAACTCAATGGAGAGGTGTTTTGGTCTGTGGAAACAGAGATTTCGATATCAAAGAAAAGAACTGATTCAGATAAACGTTGTCTTGTTAGACACATACTAAATACGGTTTTGTGGTAGCGAAACTTAAACACGCGTTAAACATGTGTTTATCTTTTTAGACGTGTCTAACTAAACACATGCTGGACCAGTGTTTAAATTATTTTTTGTAGTAAGGCGGTATAAGTCCAGGTTTCCTCACGATGTTTACCTTCACCATATGTCAGTAGTGTTTAAATAATCATAGGAAGTACATATAACTCGGAAAAAGTCACATTGGTACTTGCCAGGTTTCGAATTCACACCCTCATGCATGTGAAGCGGGCTCCTTAACCTCCGGACCACCACGACATATAATTCAAATAAATCGTGATAAATGGATTTTGTTAACAAGTTCATACATTCTTACATTTAGTCCCTAAGCATTGACTTTATTGACTACCTATAATGGAGTGTATGAGAAAAGACTACGTTTACGACTGCGTTCGCTTAGGATTTTGAGCGATGGCAACACAAAAAGGCGTTGGCTTCACAGAGGATACCAGTAACCGCTGTGTTATTAGTAGGAAGATGATTGAAGGGCGTTTACCGCGGTATGAGTAATAGAAACTACTGAACTGATTTTAATAAAACTTGGTAGGAACTGATATGACAGGTCATGGTCTAAGAAGTTAATTATCTACGAATCAGGGAAGCCCTGCTGCGGATACGGTCTTGCAAAAGTTTGTCGAAATATATTAGTAATAGTTATTTTACAAACTGCCTCAAAGTCAAAATCGAAATCATTTATTTAATTCGACCCTTACAGGTACTTTTGAAAGTCAAACAAAGCTTTAAGATAAATAGTGTCAGTCCTCTTAGTGAAACTCGTTCCAAAGAACCAATAGACCACCAATGAATCCTAAAAAGGCTGGTGTTTAGTCAGGTGTGGGGCAAGCGGAATAAGGTACGGCTTGGAGCAGAAAGGACGGGATGGTTTTAGTCAGTAGGTACTCAAGTCTAACACTCCCGGCTTTAGTCCCGGTTTTAGTCAGTAGATAATCTAGTCTAACATTATCGGCTCACCGTGGGCGACAAAAACTATTCGATGATTGCCCAATTAAAAAAAAAGTATTTTACATCTTTTGTTTTTACAACCAAATCTTCGAAAATAAAAACAATGCTAAGCCTAATACCTAAAATACTTTCTACCCACCTTTATGTGTAGAGTTGTTTACTTATAAGTTACATAAGAAGATAACAGGTTTAATTGATATGACACCGTGTCACCGGTCATGATTAGACGTCTTGAGTGATTTCAACAAAACAAAAACATTTCTATTTATTCAGTAGGTATAGGAACATGTATTCAAATTTAGGGCCTTTTTTGTTGACGAAAAATCGTCAATTGACTTCTCTTGGCCTAGGTATGGCAAGAGGGAACGTCAGGCTCTTCATCATTATGATGGCTGATCATGGATGGAAGACATCCACTGCTGAACAAAGGCCTCCCTCTTAATCCTTCACGTCGAACGACCTGCATCCATTGGCTCCCCGCGTCCGCGTTCACCTACCGGGGGGCCTGCCCACGCTACGTTTTCCGGTCCTTGGTCGCCACTCTAGTACTTTTCGGGCCCATCAGCCCCCCGTCCTTCAAACGACGTGGCCTGCCCATTGCCATTTGAGCCTGCAGATTTTTAGTCAGACTCTTACTGACTAAAATCCTCACCATCCCTTCTCCTGCTCCAGGTCCAGTCTGCGGTACTTTACTGCGCTTGACCCGCGACCCCGGCTAAGCATTGGCCGTGTTGGGCCCCATCTGTGGTGGTCTATTGGCTCTTTGAGGCAGGCGCGGAAAACCTTTTTTGTACCAAGATAGTTCTGAATGTATGAAAAGCCTCTATGTTACCTACCAGATAAATTTGAAAATGGAATGTGTAAGAAACATGTGCCACGTGACTTCATTCAGTTCTATGTGGCCCCTGGTAGCTATGTGTAAATTTCCAACATCAAGATATGAAATAACCTAAACCTCATAGGCTTTTTTTTACACCACTCGTACTTCAGCTCACATCAACTGATCACCGCTTACCCAGACCAATCCCTGCGGTAGCCTCTAAGTTAAGGCCCCCAGCCATTACAAGTTATTCTACTTATAAACTAAATGACCGTTTCGCTGAAGGCATCCCTTGCAAGGTTCGAATGTCTCACATTGAATGGGGACAGCAAATGAGGTCTGACTGGGTCGGATTATTTCAGGAGGAATTTATAATTTCTGTCGCCACAGCATCACGGGCTGATTCGTTTAGCAAGAGTCCGAACACCTAGACCTGAATAATGCCACATATGAACTTACCTCTGATCTGTAATGATTAATTTTTCTCTACACTCCAGTTACTAGTATATCAGTATCAGTTTCAAAATCAAAACTTTTATTGACATTTAAATAACAATACTTTTCTATGAACTTTCAGAAAAAAACTAATATTAAATATATCGTCATATCAATGAACGAAATTATAATTTAATTTGAACAATTTGTTGTAAATATTTTAACCTCAAAATAATTTCGTGAATGAATTTATAATCTAGAAAACTACCCAATTACATACAGTTTTTTTTTTCTTCAAAGGCTTACACCATCGCAGTAAAACCTAATATTAAATTTTTAATGTTGTGTACAATAAAGAATACCTACATAAATAAATAAATAAAACCAAAATTCTATTGAAACATAATTTATTACTAAAGATTAAATTAAAAATTATATTCTTACGCGCTAATACAATACAATAGTAAAAATATTCTACTCAGTTGGTGAGATGTTCTGTGCGGCTGCCACGAGCGTATCGTGTATGTCCTTGGCGTATGTGATTTGAAGCCGAACTGTGTTCAGGTACTGAGGGTAACTAAGACTTGTGTCCTGCGAATAGAAATTGTAAAGGTTTACTTCGTGCAAAAAAGTGTCAGAGAACCGAATTTAGCAAATATACCTCTGGGAGAGCCATACTTCATCACGAATGAACCTATTTGAACGGAGTGATACCACGGCCTCACAGAAAACCAGCTTTTAACAACCACATCGTTGTGTTTCGCCGTGTGAGTGAGGTAACCGGAGGCCCAATCTTTCTTCTTCTCCACCAATCCGTCAATTACCGAAGCCCTAATTCCCAATAGACCGCCAACGTAGCTCCTCTGGCGTTGCGGATGCCGATGTGCTTACCAATGAGTGGTATTCTTTGCCACAGTCTGTCCCCCCCGAAAGATATAACCTGAAGGTCCGAGTGAATGGGTTGTGTATGGGTTGGCGTGCACCATCGTAGGTCACATTATCGCTTACCACCAGGGGAAATAGTGACCAAATCAAAATGAATTAAAAATAGTGATTTATTATTAAGCTCAGGAAGAAAAACAAGCCGAACTCTCATTAGTGCCCTCCGTGGTGCTAGTTATTCTTACTGTGAATACAATTAACCTATAAAATTTACTAGTCAATTTAACATCAATCATTTGCCTTTAACAGTAATCTTAAAGACTCACATACATGCCTATAGGCATAGGACTGTTTATATCAAATTCTATGACAACAACAATTCGCGGAAACTCTCGAATATTCTTAGAATGTCATTCTAAAATAACCGATGCAATTTATTGGCAAAAGGGCTAAGGTTATACGGTTATACATACAACTACATATTTTATATTGAACCTTGCAATTTGCATCCCGTCTATTGCCCGAACGTTGTAATTATTTTGCATAAAGGTCAACCACTGAATACTGCATACTGAGAGTACATCTACATGAGTATGATATTACCATGAAAGGATATTAGAACGTTTATGTATTTCCATACTTTAGTGATAAAACCCACAGAAATAACTACTTTTGCCATAAAAATTACAACTGTGAACTGCGTTTCAGACCATTTGCGATTTAAGAGTTTGCTGTGTGCTTGATGATTAAAGATTTGGGGTTTGGGGGGGATTCAGCCTCCAATTACTTCACTCACACGGCGAAACCATACCTACTATGGTTGTTTCCCGCCAGTTTTCTATAAGGCATTGGTATCACTCCGGCCGAGCCGGACCATTCGCGCCAAAACTTGGCTCCCACAAACAATGTTGTTTTTCATTGACAAGGCAACGCAATGTGGGTGGTCTATCGATAAACTATATTACTATCAACTTTTGTTTATAAGATAGCATTAAAGTAGGTAAGTAGTTGTTCACTATCGTTTTATGAGCAGATGCCTTATAGATAATTACACTAAAGCGCGTATCTAAGGTACGTAGTAGGTGGCGCTCTGTGGGTGTGGACTGAAACTAAATGGAAACAAAGACGTGAATAGGGGATAGAAATGAGGAAGGAAAATTAGGTAGTAGGAATGTAGTGAATACAGCCAACGATGTACCACAGCTGAACACTGAGCAAAAAGAACGGAATAATTTTTAGTCAATAAGAAATCTGAGAGTCATTCAGACCACAATAAAATAAAATGTAAATAACCAATAGAAAAATAGATTGAAAAGGGAATATATTACTTTTTGGGTCGTAGGGCTTACTGACTAGCACCGCGGCTTCGACCTAGAGCAGGAGAAGGATTAGAGGGGTAACTCAGTAAGAGTCTGACACTCCTCCTCCTACAAGCCTTTTGATGGTTTTCCCCTCACAAAAAAGGACTTACTGACTGTAGGACGAGGGAATAGAATCTATGACCAAACAAAACAAAGGTTCTCTCCAATTTGTAATGTATATAATTGAAATTTTTATCTTAATCATACACTTTTCTAAGGGAGGAAATGACCAAAAGACATGTACCCTATGTGGGGTGGAAGGGACTGTCAGACTCTTACTAACTAAAAACTTTTCAGTTTCCTCTCCTGCTCCGACTCAGTTATACCTAACATTATAATAAACTAGCGGACCCTCTTCGAAAACCCACACATATCACATTTCAGCGAAATCGTTAGGCGCCATCTGTCGGGCTAATTTGTGAGTCTAAATCATCCAGGGCGCCATCGCAACTCAAACGTATACAGAAAAATTCATTTAAATCGGTCAAGCCGTTTAGGAGGATTTCAATGACATACACACGTACAGCAAAATATATAATAATATGTAATAAATTATACCCTTACCGTGGTTGCCGGTCCAGTGTCCAGCCTCGAAGGCATGATGCTCAGAGGCAGGTAGTGAGCCGCTGACTGCGCTTGTTGAATACACGTTATTGCAGTCCGCTAGAAAAATAACAAACATAAATATAATAAACTAGCTACTTCCGCGCGGTTTCACCCGCTGCTCGGCTCCATTTAATCGTAGCGTGATGTTTTATAGCCTATAGCCCTCAGGAACACTGTAGCTATCAATCAGTGAAAGAATTTTGGCAATCCGACCAGCGGTTCCAAAGATTACCCCTACATATGTACAAACTTACAAATTTTACCTCTTTATAATATGTATTAGTATAGTTCAGTAACTTTTGGACGCAATTATATCATGAGCAGCAAATCAGGGTTTGCTATCCTTAATTTTACCGACTAAGAATATCTACGTTTTTTTCGAGTGCGGCAATTATCAAATCTCACCTTTCGCCCTGGGCGGAGCAAAAGAGAATTGCAGACTCATAAAGAATAAAAACCACCCCTTTTCCCTTTATTGCCCTTGCCTATACTACATTGCCATGACTTCAAACGTCAGAACTATAGTTATTATTATTATTTTAATGAATGACTGACCTAGGTTACAATAACACCCTGAAACTATTTACCTTCCATTCGATTTAACAGTGGATATATGCAATATGAATGTAAACATCATGGACATCAAGTGATAATGGATCTGTTTACATTGTATCATGATCGTATGACTTAAATTGCTTTGCTGACGTTGATTTAGTACAACTTCCTATAATACTAGCTTTGCCCTCTGGTTTCACAAGCGTAGTTAATAGCCTATGTACACCGCGGATAGTGTAGCTTTCGAACTGTTAAAGAATGTTTCAAATCAGCAAAGTAGTATTGGAGCCTATTCATTTCAAACAAGTAAACCATCAAACCTTGCTCTTTATAAAATCAGAATGATGATGATGAATTATATTTCACATCTGTACTAGCTTCAATGGAAATAATATTACACTAGGAGCCTTTGTCAAAGGAACCTTATATTTGTTTTACTCATAAATTATCTTTTTAATACCTAATTTAAATTTAGTTCCAAATTCATTATCAATCTGTGACACAAATTATCTAATATCCATTTTTTGTAAAAATAAGAGCATATTATCTATAGTACTTTTCAGTAGATAAGTCTACTTCCAGTTTCAAGTTTTATTTTTTTATTCAAATTAATAATATTCTGTTGTTTTTTTTTTTGTAGAATGTGGTTGATTACACATTTGTATGATGTAAGTATCTGTATTCTACATTTTAGTATTTATTGAAAGTGTAATTTGTTTTTTTCCCCAATAAATAAAATAAAAGTATAGGTATCATCTATTAACTCTTTCAATACAACTATAGTAGAATATTCTTCTTAAAAGTGACATATATTAATACTAAAAAGTAAGCAAAAGAAGAACACATGCTAAGACGAGTTTGACACTACATTCAATGAAATGCTAAAAACGAATCGATATATTTTTTTATGAGGGAACTTCACATGCTGTTCTAAACATACAATTATTTTATATGTTTTTCTACTTCATTCTTCCTTAAGCTTGTAGCGCAAATATAGTGTTAGTAACAGCTATCCTGTGTATGCAATGGTGTTGACGTCCAATAGGGAGTCACATAAAGTCAACACTGATAAGGAATTAATACCAACAGTGATTAGACTTTCCGATGGTTGCCAGGTCAAGAAGTTAATTGTCACACATAGATACACAATATTTACTTTAACATGCTTACATTGTAACAACGAGATTATTCCTAGATTATCATAGAAATTTCTTGATTGAAAGCTTTTTTGTATGCTATGTTTTGAATATTTAGAATTTAAATTCCAGAAAAGAGTTTTTATATTTAATCAGCCTTAAACAAAGTTGCAGGTAATTGGAAAGAGGTAGGGTTGAAAATTAAGATTTCACGAAATGGATGCAAAAAGTAATTGAAAAGTACTAAAACATAACTTAATCAACGCAATTTTCAAATCAATGTATTTAGTTAATAACTTATTTGAAAATTAAACATAAGTTAATTATAATAAATCATTAATCTATTAATTAACTAATGAAAACATATTTCCATGTTAAACTCAACTAGACTAAGGACTATTATTACATTTCGACATAAAGATAAAGATAAAGAACAGATAAAGAAATATGGGTAACAAAAGATGACAAGTAACTAAAGGTATAATTCCTCCGATATGCAATTGTATAGTATAAAGAATAAATAAATAAGTATAAGTTGTTCAGCCATATTTTATGATGTTGGTGTACAAATACAAACACAACTTAATATAGGTACCAACAAATGATATAATTTAAAAAAAACAAAAAATATCCCAAATATATTTCACATTTAATGATATTAAGTAATTGGGTTCCGTTTTAGTTTTTCTATTCTCTTTATATAGAATCTTTTATAGAATAAAGATGACTGTATAATAAATATCATAAGGCATATTAAATTTATTGATCAACTAGCAAGCCATGCTGGTTTTGAATAGGTTCAATGCTGATACTAAATTTCTTGACTATTTAATGGATATTAGTATACTTACATATATAAACATACCTTTCCAATAATTTGTTTCTTTTTAAGAAACCGCATCAAAATATGTTGCATATAGACTTATAGAGAAAGACAACAAAGGTTACAAACAACTTTGTTTTAAACTATGTAGTTAGTAATTTAGTTATAATTAAGACTGATTTATGGAAAAGTGTAAATTTGTCTGATTGATTGAAATATATATTAAAATATTTATAGCTGCCAATTCATACATATTAGCATATTATTATAATATTTGCTTATACAAACTAGTCAGTTAACAGTACATACCAGATGCAGCTCCATTTGATCACAAATTGAGAAGAACTCCTCTAGATTTTTATCAAATCTTGGTACTGGGTTGTCTATGCCTTTTCTGTAAAAGTAGAATAAAGAAAAATTAAAGGGCTATGGCTCAGCAAGCATATTACTTTTTATTGACCATTAGAATATAGAAGTAATAGAATAAATACCAAAAGGTATTAAATATACTTTATTGCATACCATTACTTTTTTATATACAGGTTGGTACTTAAGTACTGATTGCCTAAAGTCCACTTTTAGTACATATATCAAATTATAATCTAACGATGCATGTGACAACAAAGGCGGCTACAGTCATCCCTTATAACTAGAGATGATTACACTTACATACATTTTATGATACTTACTGTGAATTTGAATCTAAATTATGGTTCTGGTGTAAAATCTGCGCTGCCGACTTTAATGTCATCTGAAAGGAATAATCAAAATGTCAGTAAAGATTGCAGGATTTTGGAAAAGTTAAATTGTAAGCACATGTTCTTTATAAACTTACAGGTATTGATTCACGGAGCGATCCCATGAGAGTCTTAACTCTTGATATATTGTCCATTTTGTCCTGCTGTTGTGGTTGCTGAGGCATCACAGGTTGCTGCATTTGCTGAGGCGATTGCTGCTGCATTATTGTGCCTGGCACAGGCATTTGCATCCCCACATTCGGGGTACCGCCAACGGTATTCATAGGAACATGCATGTTCATTTGATTGTGATTCATTTTTTGGAGGTTTATTAGTTCTGCTACTGGTAATCAGTTTTTATTTACTTTCTTGAAAATCTGAAACGAACTTGCTTACAAACTTAAGTCAATTTGACGTTTAAGAAAATGATTATGATTGTGACAAGTATGACAGAAACTGGCTACAGATTATCACGGATACGCGGACACGGATATGAAACCATGGATATTCTCAACTATCTTAAAAATAACGTTTAAGTTCAAAGTTTATTTATTTATTTTATTTTAACCCATGGCGGATTTTTTAGTCTAAGCATTTATCAGCATTTTTTGCGAAGAATCTAAGTAAATCATAAATGTTGGAGGATTTTTGATTTGGTGAAGAAGTTTGATGTCAGACTGACAATAGTGCAGTGACAGTTACATTCGAAGAATTCGAGTTTCAAACGTAGTGGTTACATACTCTTTGGTTACCTACATTTGCATTTGCAATGGAGGGAAAAGATTTATTTTGAAAAAAGTTAAAAATTCTTCAAACGTTTAATTTAAAATTATCAGTAAAAGCCTTTTTGCGTTTGTATACGAGTACAACAATACAATATGAAAACATTCAATATATCGAATGCAACAGAAATATGGCAGGTTTGTTAGAGAAACGTAAAAATATGTTAACTACTCAATACATTTTGTTTACTAAGTAAGTATATTATTTACTTTCGTTTCGTTTATTTTATTTTAGAAAGAAACAAGCCTACCGTCGGTTGCTTCTTTCAGTCAAAGCTTGGATAATATCTTGGGAACTAATGGGTTTCAACTTGGCAGTATTACTGAGCTACTAGGTTTACCAGGATCTGGTAAAACACAACTATGGTTAGTATTTTCGTATAATTATATCAATGTAGGTGTACTTTCTTGGTACCTATGATAAGTAGGAAATCTGTTCACAGAATTTTCATTTTTGTTTTCAGCCTGCAACTTTGTGCTTCAGTACAAATACCAAAAGAGTTGGGTGGACTAAATGCCGAAGCACTAATCATAGATACAAATACTAACTTTTCAATATCTAGGTTTAGAGGTAGGTACTGGAAATCAAATGAATCCAGCTTGCAAAACATCCACGGGCTTTTCTATACTTAGAAAATCCCATTAATACTTTCTATACCAAAAACAACTAAATGGCGAGCAATGCGCCCGAGTTCTTCTGGTGTTGTAGTTATCCATAGGCGGCAATGATGACTTACCTTCAGGTGATCTACCGGCTCTTTTGCTGGCTATTCCATAAAAAACACATTTTGACAAAAAATCGGGTAAGTACTTACATACTTAATAGTAGTTTTGATCCAGAATCTTCTTACAGAAATCCTAAAAGCAACCTTGCTAAGATGTCAGTCCATTCTGGGTGAGCCTTTGCAACTAACTGAAGATGAGGCTTTGAGTAAACTGCACTATGTAAACGCTTTTGGACTTGAAAAGTTCTGTGCATTCATGTATAGACTGCCTAATTTTCTAGGAGCACATCCTAATGTAAGTAACTGGTTTGTTACATTGTTTTTAATTAATATGAAAAGTAAAACCTAAAACGTTCTCAAATTATCTGAATATTTTGTTAGTAGGTACCTACTTATTTAATTTTTCTTTGAAAACCATCATGGCTCCAGTCAGTTTTTTTACTGATGTTCATCACTACTTTTTTAAAGAATTCTTCAATGATAACCTTCCCGCGTAAACATAGCATAAAAGAGACTTTCAGAATTTGTATACCTGTAAATGCATGATGCCATGATTAAGGAAAATTGGGATTTATATTTTAATAGGTATATTAAAATATCCCGCCGGTCCCAGAGATATCTTCTACTCTTAAGACTACAGTATTTTCATGCTTGTATTTCCTGTAGGTCCTGCTTTACAGGAGTTGCAGCTGTTTTGCCAGGGTTCTCCAAATAATAATTTTAGTTCAGATTGATTTTTTACCATATTTACAGGTGAAACTAATAGCAATAGATTCAATAGCCTACCCCTTCAAGGATGGTATATCAACAAAACAGAGAACAGGACTATTGTTCAAACAAATGGCAGAACTTCAAAGAATTGCAGTACAACATCAAATTGCGGTAATAATTGTAATATTTCGACGTGTGAGTTAGGTCCCCAAATTCCTAACAACCCACAAAAGCATGCACAAGTACCTTTCCTTTGGTATCTACTAGGTATGAGTATCCTAGAGTGGTGTTGATAGCCAACCATCAGATGGTCCCTCTGATAATTTGTGAAAATAGGTATATTTTTAAGATTCTTAATAATATATTTATCCTATAGCATAAACATTTTTTTAATTTTTAGTTAAGTATAGAAAAAATGTAAGTACCTATTTCATTTTCTATTCAAAATGAAAATCCTAATATCTACCCACCTATTCGTAATTTACTTTTTGGTATTAATAACAAAATAACAACTATTTGTAGTTACCTAGGTTCCTAGTATTTGTTCTTCCTTGTTACAATTGCTTTGTATGTTTTAGAATTATTAAAAATTGATTAGGATTTGTTAAGGGAAATCTTCCAACATCATTTCGAAGCAGCAGTGAAACTCATCTCGAAAGTGGCATTACCACTCCGCTTCAGATATCGCCTATACACAAACGTCAAAATATTCACTTGTTTTAGTTCCTTTCACTTCGTTATTCACATGGTGGCGCCCAGCCAATATACATATAAACAGTGGCCCATGCAAATTCTCCGCTGGTCAGAGTTCTCACCATGCTCAATTCTCTCCTGATGTCAGCGCCAGATTGTGATTTGCTTGCAATGAGATGGATAGATCTGTGTCGTGAATGTCTTAGATATTTTTTTTTTATTTCTTTAAATAATTAGGGACTTTTATACCGCACAGCGTATGTCAGTCCCATCGTACCCTAACACAAGTTACATTTAAACGAGATCAATGGATCAGGGCCATAAAGTCGAACAACCTCCTCGCATCATCAGAAGTCGGTCTGCTTAAAATATGATGGAATGTACCTATATCGTTCTTATTCAACTTCAAAGCCCTGAACAACTTACCCCTATCAGCCTCATTCCGAACACATTCCATCAACAAATGATGCATGTCTTCTACTACTCCACACATCTCACAGTTGGGAGAGGTTATCTTTTTCATCATGCAAGCGAATTTGTTACATGGAATATGTCCCGATCTGAGTCTGTGGGCAGTCACTACTAGTTTTCTGCTTATGTTACTATTTATAAGCCAGGGTATCCGGGGAGGCTGACACTGAATGCTTTTATACCAAATCCCTTAGATATTGTGAGAGGATAGGTGATAGGTAGGTAAACTATAATGTTGAAGTTGGGCTGATATTATGTATATCAAAAATGTCTCAAATAATTAGTGCCGTGACTATTGAGCCAATTGATAAAAGCTTGTTTTTTTTAATATTAATTTATTGCTAAAACAGGTAGTGTTATCGAACGAGATGAGTACTAGAGTCGGGTTATCAACCGGTGCGGTGGTTGGCTCGCTCGGAGACGCTTGGGCGCATCGCTGCAACGTACGCGTTTTGCTTAGCACCCCACAAATACCTCAAGACCCCACTGAAAGGCTCGCGTTATTACTCAAGAGTAATGTTGCCCCTAGCAATGTGGCGAGATTTAAGGTGAGAAACAAGTACCTATCTAGTTTTTTTATGTCAAAACCCTACATTAGCATTTGGTTGCAAGTCAAATTAGTACCTTCTTTATTACCCAATGCCATCGAATGTAAATTATTCTAAGTTATATGTCTTGGTCATACTTATGGTATACTCATAGGTGAGTAACAAGTCAAATACTTACTAAATATTATCAATCTACCGTCAAATATTTTTTTAAGACTAGGTATCTCAAGGAGATTTGTTAAAACACGGGCCTGGTTATAAAACTTACTCTAACGGTAAAAATTATATAGGCAAGTATATAATATAATGATTTAATGAACCACGTACTTAGGAAAATTAAAACTATTTGGTCTGGAACGGGTTGGTTCTACGCCAAAAAGAGGGATTGACTCTTCTTCCTCTCGCCCCATTCAAGACTAGAGAAGCCCTTAGTTTAAATCCCCCTTAAAAGAATATTCTCTTCTGAACCTAAACCAAAGAAACAATTAAAGTTTTAAAACACTATAACATAAATTTATATGTTTTCCGGGTTTCTTTATAAACACCAATGGCTGGTCAGCACATGCCTCCGTTCTTTCGACAAACTCAATGTTTGGTTAGCCTTGATCGTGCCCACTTTCTTCAATAGTTTTAATATTTATCCTCCATAATAAATATTTATATTAATAAGCCGTCTGAACTGAACTAGACATGTTTTAATTTAGAAGTCTGCATTTTCGCATTCCTTTTAGCTGAAATCATAAAAGTATTACATCACTTTGCTAATTTTTTTTCAGCTATTAGTCTAATTTACGGAATTAGTCCATTATTGTCATATTCAAATGATGTGTTTAATGTGGCTTGTTTGTACGTTGAAACTGTGTCTGCGAATAATCTGCTATTGTTAATCGTGATATTTCGATACCCGTTTTGGATAAAGGTCACGTAGACATAATACCTACGTTGAAAGATGTTATCAACACTGATCGTAAAAGCCTAAATCCCTAAATCTCCAAATCCCTAATCCCTAATCCCTAAAAGGTCGGCAACGCACTCGTAACTCCTCCGTTGCGAGTGTCCATGGGCGGCGCTGATTGCTTACCATCAGGTAATCCGTCTGCTCGTTTGCCGACCTATTAGATAATAAAAAAAATGTATTTATTTGGGCGACAATAGTACATCAGTCCAAATTTCAACTAGCTATAGAGTGATACATCCTGGTTACTAACAGACAGACGGGCAGAAAAATCTTAATAATAGCGTTCCTGTTTGCACGGTAAAAAACTCTCCGTGGTTACTATTAATAAACTGCGTGCAGTATTGGCTTAAAGCAAGATAAAGAACGGGGTGGGTTTGAGTCATTATCTGGTCATTAAGTGTCTGCCAGTCCCTTTCGACCCTCCGAGGGCGCGAGAATTCATTAAATGATTACCACAAACAAAATAGGCACATTCTAATCTAATTATATACGAATCAAAATTTTACTCTGTTTAAACATCACACTAAAGAAAGCGTGTTAAAATTGAATCGTTATGACGAAACAGACGTCAGCAGCCATTGGTATAATAGCTATGGCAGGAATACCTACATAAAAGAAGCCATTGTATTCGACCCAAATATTCATGTAAAGCTCGAATCAATATTTGATATCATTGATAAGCGTTTTGGATCGGCGCCAACGTAAACAGGGCTTTCCTAGTAATGACCGACGCAACTTGACATCATGCCAAATTCCCGACGTTCTTCTCACACAATATTCTGTTGGTGGCTTTATACCCGTATAAAATAAGTTTTTTGGTGCGGTTATGTTTTTTTTTTTTTTTAATATAGGTAGGTTTACGCCAAAACGGCGTGAATAGGTACTTGGAAATTTCGCCAACATCTATTCACCTCTTTTATGTGTTCATTCACCCCTCAAATTTTATAAACTCCGGTTTTATACTTGCCAAGGAATTTATTTACTTAGGTACCAATTTTCTTTAACCAGCAATCTCACTGTACCTACCTACGTTGTCTGAAAAGTTAGTCAATCAATATGGATAGATTTGTGTCGGTAATTACATCCAGTGATATTATAAGTACAAAGTTGTAGATGGGTTATGCGCTCAGCAAGTGATACATTAAAATGTAGCTTACTAGCCACACTTTTTCATATTCTCTTATTCACTCGCGATTATTGCCATCCCACTTTAACGTGTATCATACGATTTATTCATGTGCATATAGTTAAAACTACTAAATAAAATTAGCAAATAGATATGGATTATATATTGTCTGCAACTGCAACATCGCATAGGCTACTTTTCATCCGAATAATACGGGCGAAGCCGCTGGCATAAGTTAGTAAAATTTAACAAGTTTAATCCATGACAGTATTAGCAAGTGTTGTTAATAATTAACTACGTAAATATATTCAAGGCCAGCTGCGATTTTTGACCCGTTTTTGTAAATATTATAAGGTAAACCTGGAAGTTGGTATATGGCACAGATAAAACTTGAAGTTGTACTGTTGTTAGTTATAATTACAATTATTACTTACCTTTCATCTTAAAACATCGATTTCCAGATCACAGAAGAAGGGATAAGGGACGCAGAATGAAACACGGACCAACATACATAAGTAGTTTAATTATTAATGTAAATATTGTGTATATTGTAAACAAAACTAGAGCACCAATAAATATATCATTTTCACAAAATATTCAAGCTTTAATTTCTAAAACATCTCAACAGTTATACAAAGTAAGGCAGTAGCAAGTTTACGGAATTATCCGGTAGTATTTCATCGCGTTGTATTATGCGTTTTCTTATGACACTAGAGTGAGTAACACGCGTTTGTAGTCGCCTTTCGTATCGTCCTGCAAATCATTACATTGTACTTTGTAACGTTAGCTTAGTTCCAATACTTCGATCAATATAGCATGCCAAGCCAAACAGTTACGTGTATAAAAATAATAATATCTTTAATAAAAAAATATAATTCAATCTGCAGGATTAAGCACAAAGTGTGACTAGCACATTCCTGAAGTCACCCGTTAGGTCATCCTGCAAAGAATACCGAAATAAATCTACCGCTTGTGCAGTTCGTACTAAATATATAAAAGAGAAACTGGCCCATACTTATGATTCTTTATTCACAAAAAATAATATTCGAAATGTTATCACAAAAATAAATCTTAAATTTATAAAATGCGTCGTCCTTTAGCTTGTGCAGATCTAACTCAGGAACAATTTATTCGATTTTGTGTTTTATGTTGTTTGTTTTAAATCATGTTTTCTCTGTTCACTGGTTAGATTTGTATGTGTGAGTAAACAAAAAGGGCACAGCTAGTAAAATAATATAGTAAGTACCTAAGTACTTATAAACATAGACATTGGAAAAACAGTACTAGCGCGTTCCTTTATAAAGTATAATTAAATAAATGTCTTTAAAATGCAACGTAGGTGATTGTACTCGGTGTGTGCTGACGCTTAATATTATGATTAGAATACAACTTCACACTGCAGCATCACACACATGACAAGACGCTCGTAATACTGAGTGTTATATGTTAGGATTGTTGAAGCTTTAATAGCACAGTGTCGACAGGAGATGACCGAGATGTCCTCCTAATTCCTCCTGAAAAATTGTAACAACTACTTGTAAAACTGAGTCAAAGGGACACGAGCCAACGTGTACCGCTACCCTCATGCACGCACACGACACGAAGCAGTTAGCTACAGTGCAAAGGATATTACATGAACGTGAGTAAGGCTAATAGGAAGCAAAATATACAGATCATTTTAATAAAACTTATTCCTGACGAGGATAACCTAAAGATATGGCACGCTGAAGACTCGACTGACCGCTAGGATGAAGTACACGGCCCTCGAGAGATGTAGTGCTTTGAGCGTCGGACGGAAGAATCGTCAGTGTGCCCGTACCCTAACAGATCACTTCGCAACCTAACGAATTGACAGACAAACTTATAGTAACGAGATAGGTGGTTATCGCAATCGTTGCCCGGAGACACCTTGTGACCACATTCTCAATCTATTCAACAAGAGTCAACAGAGCCTTCTTGTAATCTCCAGAAGTGTCGTCCTGTAACCAAAATGGGCCACTATTCTACAGGTCTATCATAATCAGAACATATATTTTAGTCAAATTTTGTATCGACTTTCATGAACACATTGTTAGCAAATACACGGAAACACAAACCGAAAAAAACTCACACTAAAAATATAACGAAATAAATATTGTTGAAATCTCATTGAGATAGATACTATAAATAGATCTGTATAGTCTGTTAAAATGTATTTTTGTTATTAGATGAAATTGAATACATATAGTAGGTAATCTGCATAGCGTTGGCTACATTATCGAGTGGCTCTACACGTTAAACACCCCACATGCGCATTGTAAAGTATTTTAGTTAAGCTCAGACGTGACAAATTCTTTCACAAATCATAAATATTGGGTCAGTTTCGTATAGTCTAGAAATACCACAAAAATCGTGCGGTTAGTTTACAAGTATGATTTATGTACTTGATAGTATACACGGATAGATAGTGTATATAGTCACTATATAGTGAATGAACTTGAATGACGATAAAATATGTGGACGATGGAAGTAGTGCGATTGTTGTATGGTCATACAGATATGAATTGCATTCTAGGTCATAATTATGTGAGGTTAATTTTATATGAATTGTCTATTATATAATTGAAATGTTACATGGGGTTGGTAATATAGCCACTATACATATAAATCATAAATTGGAACGAAAGTAAGTACATTTAATCTACCAAGAATTTATAAAATAAAAAAAACATTTTGGCGCATCAGCTTCAATTAACTTGGGTTAATAGCTGTGTCTGATTTAAGAGGTCATATTATGTCTGAAAAATGTGTTCTATAAAGACACCAATTACAATCAATTGAAGCAAATGGATGCTGTGATAAACCATAAAATCCCAATTTGCATATGAATTTAAGTAATTGTCGGAATGAATGGTTCCCGAATGTAAGCGAATTTAAATGAATAGGGTATGTGACTTACAGCGATCCAGCTCTCAAGAGGTTTTCCATATTTGTCGAGGAAGGCCTGCTTGATGTCTCCAAGGTCAATTTCAGAACGGCTCACGACAATCCTGATGAGGGTCTTGTCGTTGGTTCCCAATCCCTTCATCGAGTAGTACAGGCGTTCAGCGAAGAAGCCCACTTTGCTCTTCACGCATTTTACTAGAAATTGTAAGCAGTTTCAATAAGAAGTGTTCTATATTATGTAGGTACGTGGGCAATGGTGGCAAATGGTAAACATCTGTAGTTGGCTGAACTACTAGTGATCCTATTCAAAAAAGGCAGTCAAATAATATTACTTACTAGCTTTTGCCCGCGACTTTGTTCACGTGGAAAAGTTATTTCCTGCAGATTTTTGGAATAAAAACTATCCTTTGTCCTTTCTCGAGTTCCAAACTATGTCTGTACCAAATTTCACAGAAATCGGCTCAGTAGTTTAGGCGTGAAGAAAAGACAGACAGACAGACAGAGTTACTTTCGCATTTATAATATTAGTTAGGATTCATCAAAATAAGTTTATAAAAATACTTTCAGCAACAAAATATTTTCCCTAAAATCAAAACTACAGGGTCTTAATAAAAATGCATTATCTTTCCTTCCTCTAACAAAAAGCGTTTTAAACAAAACTGTTCTTGTTGACATAAGGTCAGAATGTAACCGAACGCTTTTGTTTACAAGTGTCAAGTTAATTGGATTTGATGAGAGCTCTGCTAGTACGATTCCGTGTTTCAACAAAAAATGGAATGATTGGACAAGGCCGCAATGCTAGCTTCCTGTTACACGACCTTCACTACTGTTTGAACGTGAGTAATAGAATCTTTTGGTGTTGCACTAGTTTCGGATTACAAATTAAATTTTCTTCATAGCTATCGAGGAAGGAAGTCTCCGCTACGGTTGTCACTTGTTTCATTGTTGACAAGTTATTTAGGATTGGTTTTAAATGTTTCATGTTACATAGACAAGCTTATTCCATTCGGTCTTCATTATCACCATCAGCGTATAAGTGCTCACTGCTGAGCAAAGGCTTCTTCTTACACGGAGAAGGTTTGAGCTTTAATCACCAAGCTTACCCCAAATTTTTTATACTCATAATAAAAAATTATAAGTCTAAGTTTCCTCACGATGTTTTTCTTTACCGTATGTCAGTGGTGTTTAAATATTCATAGAATACACTTACATTCATTCTCATCGGTACTAGCCAGGTTTCGAGCCCGCGTCCTCATGTATGAGAAGCGGGCGCCTTAACCTTCGGGGCACCACGATTTATGAGCTATGTTAACTTAGGTATGCTGTTGCAAAAGAAAAAGAAAATGAATTTATTGTCTACTTACCGATAGCAAGCATGCCCTTTTCGATGCTTCCAGAGAATTCCTTCTTGATGGTTTCCTCAATGTCCTTGCCAGTCAATGCTTCGTATTCAGCAAAGATCTGCAAGTAATTTGGCAATTAGGATCGTGCGTCAGACTAGACTGGAGTAATTGAATGTGATTGCAAACGCCGGCTCAATTGTATCGGCCTTTCTAGACTTTATGACTCATAAAGTAATCAAATGTATCTATATATCTCAAAATGTATGTATATGTTCGACCTCAAAACTAAATCTAATGAAAAAAGAAATATAGTTTGATATATACCAGTCAAGCTGTCTAAAGCTAGACATTCAAGGATGTTTCTGAATTATAAATTGCTATCGTTCGTCTCAGATTGGGATCCTCGTGTAACTATGGTCACAATTATGTCAACAACGGAATAATCGATAGACGCTCGTCTCAGACTAAAAATACTTCCTACCTAAGTGTTTAAAATTCAACTTCTCTCGAATAATATGATACAAACACATTGTTCTCAAGTTGTGCTAGACTGCTACAGTTATATGCATGAATAAATAATGCATAATGCATATTTTAAACCGAAATTGTTGTGTAATGCAAATTATTTCTCGGTAAAATTAACATTTCAGACAGCTTAGCGTATAACTAGCGTTGTAATTGGATTTTTTGCAAAAATTATTCAGACGTGACTAACACGTTAGTTGGAAAGAAATTGAAGTAATTAAAAATCAATTCGAGTAGAAGTGCACTTTTCAGTTGATTATTTGTGTAGTACTTATATTATTTTCTTTGATAAAGGAGGTAGCCAGGTTTCAGTCCAATGGCCTGACCTCATTAAAGAGTCCCGATACTTTAGCCATTTTCACAAACCTGGCATAGATATTGAGTTTACATAACCCGGTTTTTATATGTTTATCTCAGCACCATTAGGCCCAACCCCGAGTTTCCATATGGCCTTAGAATGATCGTGCCAGTCGTGTTCTGGTAGCCTAAATAGCCTTACCTAATTTATTACCCACGTGAGGCCACGTGTAGCCTTAGATGGAATTGAAACAAGCCCAAACCTATTCCATGATTAAATATTGATCGACGAAAAAACAGCGTTTGTGTACCTATGCACGTGTGTCTACTTTCCTAACATAATAACAAAATTGGACTCGCGTATTAACTTTCGAATTATAATATTAATGTGCAGCAACTCCAGATCACGTTTTCAAAAAAAAAAACGTGTAGGTACCTAAATGTTTTGATACTAAGAAATCTATGCCGCCAATGGGCATTCACAACACAAGCGTTGCCAGCTTTGAGTGTCAGTGATCTAAGGATAGGGGGTTGGGGATTGATGATGAGGTCGTGCCTTTCCTTACCTGTCTAAGTTGTTGGTAAGAGCGTGTGATAAGGATGGAGTTGAAGACAGACTCGTCAGTTCCCCACTGGCCTTCTCCGGCAGACGCCAGCGCCTCCGCGTCAGCCTTGGCGGCACCCTCGTCGACGCCCTGGTTCTCATCACGGTTGGCCATGCACAGAGACACACAGAGCCTCTTGAAGTGACCAGATGTGTCACCCTTAAGGTCTGATTCCAAGCTCTTGTTGTACACTGCAAAAAAAGTATAATTTTAGTAGAAAATAACATCCAAAAACAGTCCTATCCAAATCTGTTTTAAAATTTGTAATTTTCATGTGCTAATTTAGAGCTTACATATGTTTAATTAAAACCATATCTGATTTTTTCTCTCATATATATTTCATATTACACATTAAAATCATTAGTGAGATTTTTAATCTAACATTTTTATCGCTGTGCCTATGTAATCAATAATTAATTGAACAATGTTTGTGTCATTACATTACATAATTAGGTATTCAGTTTCGTTGGCAGTCAGGTCGTATTGCCACGAATGGTGACGTAAGCAAATATTCCTTTGCATGACGGCCCATGGAGGTGTCCTTATAAAATAATTATATTTAAATTACAAATGAAAACAACCATTGACGGTAACAGAAGCTATTTTTGTTTCATAGGTAACGTTTATATTACGATTCTATATTAATTTAATTAAGTAAGTGAGTCACGCATTGATTGTGACAAATAACTTGGTATTGTAATGGTCTTCCTATTATTATTTAAATACAAAATGACACGATGGCGTCACTAACTATTATTTATTCCGGGTAACACACGTGTTACCGCTTACGAGATGTCACAAAATAAAATATTTCAAAGAAATATATATTACTTATCCTGTTTTATTTTTGTTGCTTGAAGTTATGTAGTATCAAAATTAGGTAGGTAGACAAGCTTTATTTTGTCTTTTTGGGATGTGTTAGCTTTGATTACTAAGAACAACATTATGTTGATTTTTTTTTCAATTTACTTTAAGCGATGGAATTCCTTTGAAGTGAACTAAAAGTCTATCTATAGACAACGCAAGAGCTTTAAAGATAATTCAAATTTAGAATTTATTTTAATGCATTCCCATGTGTCTGGTCTGACACCGACATCTGTTAGTTTTTGCCTATTTTAGCAAAAATACGCTAACGGTTACCAGACTGCGATGTTTCGGTAAGTTATAATTATCGAATTATGTACTAATCATATAATACAAAACGAATCTACCTAAATTATTTAGAAATTACTGCATCCTTCGTATTATCTGTGTCTGTTAGGATAGCTGTAATGTAAATTCAATAAAGAAATTGACGGAAATATCATCAAAAATGGCGGTGTCAACTTACGCTGTTCGTAGAAAGCTGAGATGGTACGGATTCCGTAGTTGGAAAGGGTGCAGAGGATCTCAATGATGGCCTCCTCATCAGTTCCGAGTCCCGAGACAGCGTCGTGCAGTTCCTTGGCGTAGTAATGGGGAAGGGGGGTCATCAAGGCCACGATCACATTCTCCAAGTTGCCAGTCAGTTCGCTCTTGAGCTCACTGATTAAGTCCTGGAATAAAAACATATTTAAATACTGTGTTCATTGTTGCGTATATAAGTATTACAAAACGTGCCCTCTAAAAGTTGCCCTCTTAAATCAATCTCGGATGATTTAACGAGTGGATTTTTAGTTTGAAAAGTCTTTTCGTAGATAGAATTTGGTTTTCGTATACCACGGTCTATTTGTCGCTAATTCACTGCAAGTATAATAGCGACCTACATCAAAAAGAGCTCATAGGTAATAAAAAAATAACCAAGCCCATTTGGCAAGACAACAATCATATCCGAAATAGCAATTTACGCTACCGAGTGATTTTACGGTCGGATATTATGAAATAACATAAAAATGGAATGCAATGACGCGACGTAGTAGTGACTATTTGGCAATAAAACGTTTTTATACTAATTGTGGACAAGTCTCTGTGTATCGTGTTGAGATATTGTACAGACGGTAGGCGGTAATGTATTTAACGTCACAGGTATAAGTAACAGGTATGACACAAATAAGTACTATGTTCTTGATTGCGAGCAACAATAACAGCAAATAACAGGTTTTAGAGTTAACAGTTACTATTGTTTTCGTTGCTAAATTAAGGCTTTTTTTGAGCGGAAAATTCATTACTACTGACGTTCGCGGGGCGAGCTGATAGTGTCAGACTCTTACTGACTAAAAACCACCCTGGTGCTTCTAAATTTATCTATTAGGAATGTGTCCACAATTCCGGCGGTAAATAAAAGCTCAATCACAGTTCTCAATATTTTAGTAACAGGTATTAAGATCTATTTATTCTGGATCAGAAACAGAAAAAACAGGTATTATGATTAATTAAACTTTTACAATCTAACGGACGCTAGAGTAAGACCTCGTAATCATTCAATGTCAACTCCGCAGGTGAATGGCTCTGCATTCACCTGCGGAGTTGACATAATTCCCGGTCACTATACCGAAGTTGGCGTTTGGATTTTTGCCGCCCATTTACATTCAACTACTATCTATCCGCTGGATGTCGATTTTACACTTTTTTAAGTTTTTTTTTTCATTTTCTCTACGTATTACGAACAAACCTTCTCTGGACTTCCAGGACTAATTCAAGATCAAAATTTGCCAATTAGGTTAAGGCATTGTTGAGTTATGACATTACAACGAAATGTAGCACTGTCTATTATTATCTATACTAATATTATAAAGAGGTAAAATTTGTAACTTTGTTGTAGGTAGGGGGTAATCTTTGGATCCGCTGGTCGGATTGCTAGAATTCTTTCACCGATAGATAGCTACAATGTTCCTGAGTGCTATAGGCTATAAAACATCACGTAAGATCAAATGGAGCTGAGCAGCGGGTGAAACCGCGCGAGAATAGCTAGTTTTTTATAGATATAGATTTATGTGGCAATGTGTGAAGGCAAAGGCATATCAAATGAAAACTCTACGCTATTAGTACTGTAAGAATCCATGACTAAAGTATTGCTTATCAAATCTCAAATGCTTCGGTACTTGTTAACCCAAGTACAACGCTGTTAGGAGGCCAAGAAAACAGGAAAATTGAATTGAACAATGAGTAATTGTCACGCGTTCTGCGCTAGGTGTGCTGTTCTAATCGTGTCGTGGACACGTCAGAGGGGCACTGCACATATAATGAGGTAATCTCTAAGCCGGCCGTGCATAAATAAATTAAACCAATGTGGTAAACATTTTACAACTTCAAAATGTCTACATCGTCAGCCTATAAGTGCCTACTGCTGAGCAAGGGCCTCTTCTCACACGGAGAAGGGTTGAGCATTAATTAAGACGCTTGCTTGCGTGGTTGGCGACTTCAAACTTAGGTATTATTATAAATTATAAGTTCAGGTTTTCTTATAAACTCAGAAAAAGTCACATTGGTGATTGGTGCTTGCCAGGTCACGAAACCACACCACTCATGCATGAACCAGGCGCTTACACCTCCAGTCCACCACGACCTCAAAATGTCTAAAAGTAACTACTTACTTAAATCCAAAGTTTTGATATTAAATTTGTATTGTTTCCTTATTATATTATAAAGTATCAACCTTAGCTAGATTTAGAGCTACCTACCACAAAACTTGCCAGAGTTAAAATCAGAAATGTTTTTCCTCCTGTGTAGGTACATGACTACCTACTGTGAGTTACTATAATATTAATAAGTAAGTAAAATATTTTCCGTTTATTTAGTTACCACATTATATAGCCAACATACCTACATACATTGGCAGAATGATCCATGGTGTCAATTTTAATAGTGTGTTAAAAAAATATTTTATAATGACATATCACCGAAGATCTTTTATTTTTATTGAAGTTTATGGCCTGGATACAAGTCCTTTAAGCCAATCACCGAAGATCGTTACAACGTAGGTGAAAGATAAAACAAATAGTATTCAATGTAATCCTCTAATATAACATGTTAAAATTACGATAATAACATTATATTATATCTAGGTATCTACCATAGATAGGTATGTTACACATTCAGCCATAACAAGTGATTAGATAAGAAAATGCAAACAAAAATGCTGATAGCATAAATTAGCATCATTCATCATGCACATCTGGTATCTATTCAGTTCCAAATATTTTTCATTTATGTTTTTTAAACGCATTTTAATGTCTGTTACCTACCTACTGACAGTTGATTCTGTTACAAACATTTTTTAATCTGGCTTAGCGGCCTAACCCTGCTTCGCTATTGCGCGTTGCTGTTTCGCCATTTTCCTCTTCTACTTTCTTGAATTTTCCATGCTTGAACCAAAGAACAAGTCCAGGCGTTGTTGAGTTATGGTCTTACCAACGCATTTGTACATGTTTATAGATTTAAAAATTAATATGCGTTAATGCTTTATTGATATACTAACATCAGCCCGCGTGGTGGATCAAACGCAGCCGAATCTTAATTCAGTATATTACCTACCAGCTTCTCTCGCGCGGTTTCACCCGCTGCTCAGGTCTATTTGATCATAGGGTGATGTTTTATAGCCTATAGCACTGAGGAACATTGCAGCTATTTATCAGTAAAAGAATTTTGGCAATCCGACAAGCGGTTCCAAAGATTACCCCCTACATACAAACTTACAAATTTTACCTCTTTATAATATTAGTATAGATCTGCATACCATTTTAACCAAATCGGTCCATCCGTTTTGCGTGTAAAACTAACAAACAAACATTCCTACAAATAGGAAGTAAGTTGTTTTTTGACCCCGGTTCCGAATCTACAAAAAGCGATTGCTCTCAGTATTATGATTCTAGTTACATCTTAAGAATGATTCATAATCTCCGAGAAACAAGAAAATTACTGTTCAAATAGCAATCGGTGATAACAATCATGATTTTATGAATCAAGGAATGACTAATAGAACTCGGAAGGAAGGTAACATCGAGGTCATAAGTATTAAATCATTTATGAAACCTCACAAGGCTTTTGTTTAAGAGGCCTAATATACAAAAATCATATCAATTATTACGTTCCTAATTTGGTATGACGTAACTAAACGTGAGATAAATTAAAAACACATTGTTTCTATGTCTGTGCGTCTGCTTTTTGGTGGAATTAAAAAAAAAGAATGTAGTTTGAAAGTCGAAGCCATTTGATTATGGTTTTTAAAAAGAATAGCTGTTGCAACGTTGCAACAATGTTTTGACATTAATTTGTGAAGTGGAATCTTGTAACTAAATTTTTAGGGAGATATCTTCAACTGATTAAGCTGAAATTTTGTAAACACAATTATTTTGCATGACTATGACTGTAAATAAAGTGAGTGCTAAGCGGTTTGACTTTATTCTAAATGTATAAAAATGTCTCTCGAGTGTTTAGTCCCAGGACTTCTTGACCCACCAGACAAGAGTTTGTTTCTAAAAAGTTTTTATACTTAAATTTATTTAATTTAAAACTAAATCAAGTATACTGAGTACTGTTTGTTAGAATGCATGTTTGTGTTTCTTTCACGCAAAAATAGCTGTACCGATTTCATTGAAATCTGGTATGTAGATTAGATAGGTGATACCACGGATTAACATATTATTATAGGATTTTTATTAACATACCACGTGGTCGAAGCTGCGAGCGGAAGATAGTATAACATATTTTAACTTTAAAAAAATCTAGAAAATTCATCTGATTATGTTTTTCTACTAAATGATATAAAACTAACAGACTGAGTAGCAAGGTCATTACAAATGATGATTACTTAGTGCTGATAATTGTACACCACAGAAAAAAAAAATGTTATTACTAACTCTTCAGTCCGCTTGCGACTACGACCTGGTTGCACAGGTCAAGTCAAGCCTTCCAAGGTATTTAAAAAATTACTTTACACGTTAATACCCGCCTATTATATTATGTTAACTGTTATTAGCCGTATTTAACAACAGCGATACCTGCTATTTCCAAAGTATAATACTTAGTGCCTATGCTTTCGGTCCTAGATCCGAACGAACCTAGCTACGTAATTTAAAAAAAAAACAACAAATAAATTGATTACCTACATTACACCAGCCCAGATTGTCATAACAGAGCTAAAGGTGAAAAAAATATGACAAGTTATCATAAGCAAATTGTTTTATTTTATTATGTTTGATGTTTCTCTAGAGGTAGGTACATAGATACCTAAAGTCGTGATTTGTGAAGGTCAGATGATATAATCTCGACTAGGACGTTCAACCGTAAAGATTTGAAGGTCGGGTTTGGAATTACCGTCTCGAATATTTGTAATGTAATGTAAAAAAGAGAGGTTTTTCTGTTCCTATGTACCTAGTCCCAGTAACGAGAGTCCCTACGGGTGGGGCAGTACGTCAGGGTGTTTTAGTCAAGAGTCTGACAGTTCATCTTCTACTAACCTTGCCATAGTTGGTCTTGAAAGTCTCAGCGATCTCCAAACGTTGGACGATTCCTCGCCTGCACAACACATCAATGATGGCCTTCTCATCAGTTCCAAGGCCTTTCATGGCCTTACGGAGGGTCTCGGCATCCGCAGCGGGGTCAAAAGGCTCCGCTGGGTACACGGTAGGGGTGCACTGTCAAATAAAAAACAAAGATGCTTAAAGTTTTTGACAGATCCTCAAGTTCAAGGTGATAAACGATGTCGGAAATTCACAAAAAATAATAGTTAACTGTGGGAAATACCTAGTTGAACACAAACAATAGAAAATAATAATAATGCTAACAGGTTACTAGACCATTATATTTTTAACAATTGGTGGTTTACGAAACAAGTTTCTTGTTTCTGTATTACGGATAGGCTGATCGCATCTAGACAAGGCCATCAGCTGAGTTTGAGGGAGGTGAAGGAACTAGGTGCTTTTTAGTCAGTAAGAGTCTGTCACTCCGTCTCGCCCAACCCAGAGCGGGAGAAGAGCCTTGAAGATCCCCCCTCCTCTCCCCCAAATAGGCATGGACATGAAATTCATAACAGGACAACCGCAGTTTAACATTATTCGCGGAATTCATTGATGACTAATTTGAAAACTTAAACCTCGATTTAAAAAATTACGTTATAGCCATTCTGGTATTTCCCAGGCTAGTTATTTGTTGAACTAGTAGTGCCGAAACTGACTTTGTGTAGGTACCTAAAAATGTTTTTTATTGCGAGTTACCTACCTACATCGTGCATTAATGTATTAAATATATTCACAACTAGTCTCCAATGTCTACATTATCATTGAACTGCTAAAGGGGACAAGCATTACGTCATTATATAAGTATCTTTCGGAGATTTCCTCCCCGCAGGCCGCGGCCAAGTTGTCTGGCCTTGAGAGTTGGCTTAGTCATAGGGAGGTTAGGGCGTGATTTGGCCGCTCCTTCATTCCCCTACACATAAAACTCCCTGTACGCTAGTGATATTCTGTTTACTTAATGGATTAGTTTACCAGTTTCGACGTCGGAAAAAATAATATTTTATATGGATGTTTTACTAGTTTTTTACGTAGGTAGCAGGTACCTAGGTTACAAAGTAATTTTTATTCTCCGTAATATGTTTTGACCCTAAAACTAAGATGCATTTGTATCATAAACACTAAGTTCTTAAATGATATACCAAATTGTAACACACAATTTTATTAGCACCGCGGTGGTGCCTAACTATCGATAACCTTGTGGAAGTATGACATCATCCTGTGAGAAATCTATAGAATTATAGCCATGTAGGTAGTTAGGTAAGTAGGTGGATGGCTTACCTTGTAGGGGTAGTACTGTTGTCCACTCATGTTGATAGATTCCTAAAGAACAGAAAAATAAATATTTCAAAATGTAGGTACATAAAACGCTAAAAATATAACTCATTTGCAAACAGCGCGGCCCGGCTTTTAGCGATATTGAAAACATTCACTCGCCGGTAAATATCAGAATACACTTATGAAACAGTAGATAATACGTATTTTTACTGGCTAAACTTTGCTATGGAGCTTTCTAAGATATAATTAAACCTTATTCACAGGCAAATTCATTAAAATTGTACGTACGTACGTTAACTCAGCGACACACCCAACTCACAACAGAACCAAAATCCGTCAACGGTACGGTATAACTGGCTGGTAAGTATTGTATGAACACCGAAACTCACTCGGTTTGTATAGAGGCGAAGGCGAACCTCTAGCCTCTCGCTCTTGTCAGGCGTCACGAACCTTTGGCACGTTTCTCCTCTAAACGTGTGGTTATTAAAATTTACAGTACTAGTCAGATAAATTAATTATAGGACCGTGTAGAAGACAATTTGTTTAATAATAATAATAAGTTAGGTAACTCTCATATTAGTAAGAATATTTTTATTTGGATCGTGATTAGACTGCTATCAACTAGGTACTACCTATTAGATCTATAAAATTAAGTAATCCACCGAAGGTATAATGTAGATACAAGATTGATAAACTTTATCATTTTTTTTTGTCTGTATTAGTAGGGGAGTCGTGCAAGGGCCAAAGATAGATGTAGTTTTATCGTAATTTGAAATATTTAAAGTAAAGTATAAATTAGTTATCCTTTCAAATCTACGAGTACCTAATTAATGTCCATTCCTCCTTCATGAGAAGAGGCCTTTTCTCAGTAGAGTGCTAATGATGACCCACACAAATAATATTTTATCAGAATGTCCGTAAATCAATAATTCATGATAATAATAATAGTAATAATGTGATCCTGAGTGTGGAGCACCCCTGTACAGCAATGGCCGCGCAGCCATTTTATTTTATTCAGCGCGTTGCGTCGTCGCCTTCGCTACGCTACTACAGCGCCGCGCGCCGTCAGTTCAGTCGCCGTACGACACGGCGTGTTGTGCGTTGTTCAGCGATATTGCTGTTACCGAACTAGTGATACCGGCTAACTCACCACTATGCCTCAGAATTTTACTGAAAGACAGAACATTAAAATATTGCTTATAAACAAAAATAATAGTAAGATAGAAATCATGAAACTATTCTAGATAATAAAAGCTAGAGTGTATGTAAAATACCTATATTGTTTTTAGGCATGTGGGTACCTATTTAATTTATTTATTTTTATATTTCTATGTTAAGACATTGGACACATAGGCAGTGCACATAGGCTTGTGATCTCCTTCAATTTTAATCATTGAACGCTGTATTTTGACTACTTAAGTTCTTTTACTGAAGATTATTTAATACCTACCTACAAATAAAATATATGTTTGTGTGTCTTTACAAAATGCAGGAAACTGTAATGCTCAGAGTTTTTATAAGCGTCATTAAGTAAACTTGATACTGTACTTCTGTCAGTATGAGTAGTCAGTTATTTAGGTTATAAGACGTCTACCTACCACAAAAAGAACCTACAGGTGCTTACTAAAATGGATAACCCAGGGTTGTGGGACTTCGAGAGATGATCTCCGGCCACCGTAAGCGCGGGTCTGCGGACGGCGAGTAAGAGTAGTTCGCCGCCCGACCAGGCCCGAGCGTACGGTACGTAGCGTTCCGCGCGCGCCTCAAAGAGCCAATAGACCACTACAGATAGGGCTCTATAGGGCTGAGGTTCAGCCGGGGTTGCGGAATACCTAAGCGCAATGAGTCACCGTGGCCTCGACCCAGAACTGGAGAAGGAACGAGGAGGTTTTTAGTAAGTAAGTAAGAGTCTGACACTCTCTCTCGCCTTACCCTGGGCGGGAGAAGTCATTTGATGATTTTCCATTGACAAAAAAAGGGTTGCGGGGTTTGCGGGTGCAAGCGTATCAATGTTCCTTATGTTAGTAAGAGTTAGACACATCCTCAAACATAGGGCGGGAAAAATGATTTGATGATAAAAAAACCTTCAAAAAAGGAGTTTCTTAAATGTATAACATTGTCTAACAATTTAAGTAAGGTTAATGCAACGACTTGTAAGTATACGTATAATAAAGCCTGTACCTATATTTACTCTAATACTTAATTAACTTGATCAATTAACGGCTGATTTCTCAATGGTTAGATAAAAGTTAGCTGGGAATAATTATGATGCTGTCGCGTCAGATTGTTTGTATTATAAGACAGTGGCATCAACAATTTTATTCCTCAGATTACCTACATTTATCTGACTATTGAAAAAGCAGCCCTAAGTAGTTTATAATCAGTCATTAGAGCAAAAATAAAACTGAGTCAATGATTACATTGACATTTGAATGAGACGGACGTGACGGCACAAAGCAGCATTATTTATTTTATTATTCCGCGTTGATGTCTGTGGCGTCATAGACTACATAGATCTTATTCATGATCATTATATCATCGCTTAGAGGTTGAGGTTGTAAGAACTCTGATTCATGGTATAAGTAGTTTACCAATGAGTGTAGTATTTTTAAATAGAGTTTACACGTTGGGCGTGGATTGAATGAATAGTTGACGATTTTATGTACTAAGTACTTAGGTACTTCTGTCATACCATACAGCATATCATGTTTGTTTTACAATTAGTTGTTTTTTTATGTAAACGATCGGCAAACGAGCAGACGGATTACCTGATGGTAAGCAATCAGCGCCGCCCATGGACACTCGCAACGGAGTAGTTACGAGTGCGTTGCCGACCTTTTAGGGATTAGGGATTTGGAGATTTAGGGATTGAGGAGGGATTGGGGGAGGGGAAGTATTGGGCCTCCGGTAACCTCACTCACACGGCGAAACACAACGCTGTGGTTATTTCACGCCGGTTTTCTGTGAGACCGTGGTATTACTCTGGTCGAGCCGACCCATTCGTGCCGAAGCATGGCTCTCCCACACTTAAAATTGTCTATTAAGTTTTAGGAATCCCCTACTGTACCTACTGGAATATGTTGAACATTTGACTATTAGATAATTTAGTTACTATTTTTCCAAAGTAGGTACTTAATGTTGATTGAAAACTTGATAAATGTTGACATTTTATATGTAGGTACCTAGTACAACCATGATGGTAATAATGATTGCTTAAGTGTTTCGGGAAGTACCTGTGTCGCATAGGCCGAGAGCCGACGTCTCAGTGCCACCATTGTGGTAATTGCCGCGACGATACGGCGCTGCATACGTTGGTGGAATGTCCAGCTTGGGCCGAGCAGCGCCGTGACCTGGTCGCGGCCGTAGGTGCTGCGGGAAATCTCTCGCTTCCGGCTGTAGTGTCTACTATGGTCGAGAGCGAGGGTGGAGTGCCGTCGCTATCTTTTGCGAGGCCGTGATGCTCGCAAAGGAGGCGGCGGAAAGGGAGAGAGAGGCTGCCTCCTCTCTTCCCTCCCGCAGCAGACGCACTAGACGTCATAGAGTGGCCGACCTGCGGCCACCGTAGGGCGCGGCCTGCGGACGACAGACTCGGGGCGGCGGTGCCGTGTTCCGCGCGCGCCTCGTAGTGGAGTCCTGCGGTCGGGGCGACGGCCGCAGTGGGTGACGGGGCCCGCCTTACCATCTGGCGGGCCAATACCCGTCGGGGGGTTGCGACGAATGCTTCGGCGATACCCGCCCCTCCGACACATGGGTTATTTTGGAGGAACACCGGGTTGGTTTTTAGTCAGTAAGAGTCTGACAGTACCCTTCGCCCTTACCCCGAGGGCGGTGGGTCTCCATGAGGATTTTCCAACCCGACACCAAAAAAAAAAAAAATAAAAAAAAAAATTATTGCTTGACATGTTTTGCGGCTCCAAAAGACTAACGTTTTTTTTGACGGCAAAAATCACGACTTCCCTACGTTCTGGGTGGGGCGAGAGGGCTCTTCTCTTACTGACTAGAAACCACCCTGTTTCTTTATCTACTCTGATAAAGGCCGCTGTACCTATATCGTCCCGCTGACACTGACAGCTGGAGCTCTGATGCTGATAGGCTGTCATCGTAGCCATATTTCAGGCATCACCACATCTTTGCCGGCTGTAAGGACGTAAGTGCAGAACCACGTGCCAATGGCTATCCTTAATTGTTAGAGAGGAGAGTGCAATATCTATTTAATTATTTGAGGCATGTAGGTACGGTTCATATAAAAAATATCTTATGCTTTAGGAGGGGTGTGTTGCCTGAAAGCGTAAGCAGAGCAGAATACCTAAGGGCGGATTCAAACATCAAGGTAGGAGAAGATATTGGATGACTGTTTCCACCTATTTCGTTTATTTAATTATTACCCAGGTTTGATTAGGTAGATAAATGTAATCGAGATTCGTAGGAGATCCATGATTTGGCACGCCTGGGGTCGCCTAGTTTCGAGCCAGGCCGAAATGATACCACGGCACGGACACAGAAAACCGGCGTGAAACAACCCCAGCGTTGTGAAACACTCAACAGTTTCGCCGTGTGAGTGAGGATGCCGGAGGCCCAATCCTTCCCCCCCTCCAGATCTCTAATCCCCAAAAGGTCGGTAACGCACTCGGTAATTACTCCGTTGTCGTCGTTGCAAGTGTCATTGCTTTCCGAGTAATCTGTTTGCTCGTTTGCCGAGTTATTACATAGGTAGTACCTGGATTTGCCCAAGTGTTTTTTACCGTACTTATTAGGTACCTACGGTAAAATATCGAATCTCCAATCTCGTGTTAATACATCTACCTAATTAGTATCAGTGACTCAATATTGTAAACAATCTCGTTAACGCTATCGGTGCATATTTCCTTGGAAAGCTAGTCACCACAGATAATAGCGTCGTCGGAAAGTAAAGTTCTTGAAGATAAGTGATACCTGTTTACCTATGTAGATGTTTATAAGTGATTTATAAAATCAACTGCCCACTATATACCTAACTTTTTAATCTGTAGACAATGATTTTCATGCATGCTGTTCTACGTGTTAAACAATATCACGCGTTTACCTAAGAACAATTAATTTTATTTCCAAAGCCGATTTAGATAGGTACATTACTCCTATGTAGCTTTTCGGATAATCTGATGGTAAACTGGCGATATCGCCCATGGGAACATTAAACATCGAATATATAGTAATAAGTGCGTTTCCAGCCTTTTGAGGGTACGATGGCTAAGGTTTGGGCCCCCAGTAACACACACGATGAAACGACACGGTATATACGTTTTTTTTTGTTTTGGACGGCTAACGAGCATGCTGGTTACCTTATGGTAAGCAATCAGCGTCGCCCATGAACACCCGCAACAACTGAAGAGTTAGTTACAAAAGCGTTGCCCCGACCATTTGAGGATATGGGTTCTGGAGATCTAGGGATTGGGA